AAATAAGTCAAGCAGAGACCGACAATTGTCATATGCTTTCACTCATATGTGGAATATAAGGAATAGTATGGAGGATATTGGGAGAAGGAAGGGAAAAATGAAGCAGGGGGAAATTATAGGTGGAGAAGAACCATGAGAGACTAGGACGTTGGGAAGCAGACTGAGGGTTTCAGAGGAGAGGAGGGTGAGTGGATGGGTTGGCTGGTGATGGGTATTAAGGAGGGCATGTATTGCATGGAGCACTGGGTATTATACACAAACAATGAATCATGGAACACTACATCAAAAACTAATGATGTAAAGTATGGTGACTAATGTAACATAACAAAACAATAGAAATCTTATTATTTCAATACTTAGAATTTACTAAGAAAAAAATACTTGCAAAGTTAACTATGAAGTGCTTAATTCCAAAGTATTTTAATCTACTCATGTCAATTTGAACATGACTATATACAGATGACTAATAAATAATTTGTAGATATGGTACCAAAAAAGAATAAATGCGCCCTCAAGTTGAGGGTTCTGGAATGAGTGTCATCGAGAAGTATGGACTGGATGGTACTTCTACCCCATTTGTTCCATTCTGGATTACCCCCTCCAGACACACCCATGTTGAGGTCATCATGTGTGACCATCCAGAGGGATTACATTACTTCAGAGCAAAGAGCCCAAAATTGAGACACAGGCATCCATTGCCTCCTGCTTCCCAGAGTCCCTATGCTTCTGATTGGGCTTCCTGGTCTCCAATTTATGGCCTGCATAGAATTTCATTTTCATAAAATGAAAGGATGGAGAAGTTTACCCCAGAGGAATGAATAGAATGTAAATCTCATGCACAGGCTTTTAATCAATACAAATATAAGTATGATGTCTGAACTAGAACTTGAAACAATGATTTTTAGGATACAAACTGGGCTTGAAAAAAGGATAGAAGACATTAGAGAAGCCTTAATTGCAGTGATAAATGAACTAAAATTGAATCAGGCCCAAATTAAAACAACAACAACAACAGCAACAACGACAACAACAAAAACCCACAAACAATTAAATTCAAGATGCAATCCGAAGTGCAGGCCATTTAAAATGAGCTTGGATGAAGGAGAGGAGCAAATCCGTGGTATACAAGATAAAATTACAGAAAATGAGTGAAAAGAAGAGGGAAACCAAGGTAATGGGCCATGAAGGTAGACTTAGGGAACTCAGTGACTTATTAAAACATTATAACATTTGTATCATAAGAGTCACAGAAAATGAAGAGAGATAAAAAGGGGGATTGGTTTTATTCCCTAAAATAATAGCTGGAAAGTTCCCTACTATGCAGAAGGACATAGACATCAAAATCCAAGAAGTACAGAGAACTCCTATTAAATTCAACAAAAGCTGACTATCTCCAAGGCATATTGTAGTCAAACTCACAAAATACATCACAGACAAGGAAAGAGTCCTGAAAGATGCAAGGGAACAAAGGTGCTTACCTCAGGGCTTTCAGTACAACACAACTCTGTAAGGTGATGATCAGACTCAAATCTCACATGGTGATCACATCCACATCTTCTGGAAGACTGAAAAAACAGCATCCTTAAATTACAGTTCCACATACTCTAGGAAATCCTGACTCCCTTGTACCAAGTTTCTCCCTTTTTGTCCACTGTGTCTTTCCACAGAGTCCTAGGATAGTCAACTGGTTAGTCCTGTCTGCAGGAGAGAACATGTGAGAAATCCACCCTTGAACCTCACTGAAGGAAATTATCAGGTACTTTTTACAACAATGCAGCAGGGAAACACCAGAGCATCAGTGCTTGGGTTCATGTGTCATTAATATCTCAGTCTGTTCCAGCTGCTGTAATAGTGTACATGGACTGGGTGGTTTTAAACAACAGACACTCATTTCTCCCAGTTCTGGATTGTGGGAAGTCCAGGTCAAGGTGCAGACAGATTTGGTGTCTGGAGAGCACCCACCTCCTTGTGTGTCCTTTCCCTGTCACCTCACATGGGGTCAGGGGGCAGGGAGCTTTCCCAGTCCTGTGGTATAAGGGCAGTAATCCTGTCATGAGACTGCACCCTCCTGACCAAAATGATTCCCTAATGATGGTCCTCCTCGATCCATCACAGTGTCCTTAGGATTCAACGTGTGATGGTCGAGGTCATACACATTGAGCTGATATCAGCAACTGAAAAATAATTAGTTATTCCCTGCAGGTGGAAGGCTCCTCCCATCCAGCACCTCAGCCTGAGGATTCTCATGGATCCAGTAGAACCTTCTGGTCTCTGTGTGCACCCAGAGAACACAAGAACTTCAGAACCAGTTTGAGACCTTGGGGAGTGGACAGCTTCCACTGCAGACACGGGTAGATCTCGGTCTACTTCTATCATTATCTTTTTACTTGTGATGTTTCCATGGATTATTCTTCTAAATTTCCAAGGATTCGTATCATTTTCTACTTAGAATGGCCATTTCTCTCTTTTGTTCTTGCCATTTCACGTGTGTATATTCGAATTAGTCATCACAGGGTATCTTTTGATTATTGCCTGTTAGCTCCTTGACCTTCATTCCTCACTCTTCTCTTCCTGCCTCACAGATGGAAACTCTAACAAGAACACACCAGTTCTGCCTCCTTTGATGCAGGTGGGAGACTGACTCCACACAAGCCCCTCCCATGAACAGGACCCCATCCCCACCACTGACCCACAACACACACCCTGAGCCAGTGTCCTTCCTTGGCTCCATCCAAGCAGTTATGACTTGAGGAGAGGCCTGCCCTGCTCTCAACAGACAAGATGGTAAAGGGGATGAGAATTTTATGTTCTCATGTTTGTGTGTTTTTGTGTGTGTGTGGTATGATCAACAGACTCTACATCCACACTATGTCCTGGTGGGGTTCTCTCTGTTCCCCACGCTGCCACTAACATTGTTGTGAACATGGTTTAAGACAGTGAGCCCCATCAGGGATCTTTCTTCTCTGGCTTTGGATTCTTGACACCACTGTGGCCCCATATCCAGAGCCCCATATCCGTAGCCCCTTCTCTGGCTTTGGATTCTTGACACCACTGTAGCCCCATATCCAAGCACTTCTTGCAAGCTTGCACACTGAGCTGGATTCTCCTATGATACACAGTTGAGTGCAGCTGGGACTCTTGAAAGTATTCAGGTGATTTGCATGGAGATATTTGTAAGTCATTCATATTTAGGTCCGGGAACAAGCAAGTGCAAGTGACACTGACTTTTGTGCTTGCTAGTATAGCAGTTCTTCAGATTTTTATTTATGTCAGAGAATGAATAGTTAGCACAGAACTATGTGTGCAGAGAGGCTCCCTGGGGGAAACAGCTATAATTAGAGAGGAAGCCCCAGATCCTGAGAGGAAACCTGCCATATCCTCCAAATTCACCTGCTCCTGGTGCTTAAAGACAGAATTGGTGAGCAGTGTGCACACCCTGGTGACCAGATCCCCTTCTACAGTGAGGTTTGTGTCTGGGCTCACACTGACTTCCCCTCACTGTGTCCTTTGCACAGTAATACACAGCTGTGTCCTCTGTTCTCAGGCTGTTCATCTGCAGATACAGTGTGTTCTTGCCGTTGTCTCTGGAGATGGTGAATTGGCCCTTCACAGAGTCTGCATATCTTGTGCTACTTCCATCATAGCTAATAGCTGCGACCCACTGCAGCCCCTTTCCTGGAGCCTGGCGGACCCAGTACATGTAGTAGCTGCTGAAAGTGAATCCAGAGGCAGCACAGGAGAGTCTCAGGGACCCACCAGGCTTCACCAGGTCTCCCCCAGACTCCACCAGCTGCACCTCACACTGGACACCTGCAGACACAAGACATCCTGGTCAGGAAACTCTCACATATCCACTGATTCTCTCACTCATATCCACTCACATACTCAAGAGACTCATGTCTCTTGTTCTCTGTAAGTTACCTTTTAAAATAGCAACAAAGAAAACCCAATGAAACAAACTCCATGGTGAGTTGTCTGTGTTCTGTTCTGATTATGAATGGGAACACCTGGGAATCCCAAGGTTGGGCTCCTCTCCCAGCTGCAGGTTTTGGGTTGGGCAGTTTTAATCAGCAGAGGGAGGGCCATATTTGCATGTCCTCTGACTAAATATTCAACGTGTGATCTATGCTGACAGAGAGGGCAGTGACCAGAGCAGGTGTGACTGCCTTTGATTTGTTGCTATTGAGAGAATTTGGGAAAATATGTTTCTTATTATATGATTTTCCAGATCACAGACTTAGCCTCCATGTGCTACCTTTTTTTTACACATGCACAGAAATCTTTAGATGTAGATTTCATGTGACACCATTAAGATATGTGAACATATACCCGGAATTTTAGAGGATTTGTGAGGTGTCCAAGAGCACGTATGGGGAAAGAGTGACCCCAGTATATGTTCTGTGCTCCTCCCACAGGACATACAGCATCCCTGAACTTCCTGCAAGACAGAGTGGGCAGACTCATTAAGCATGTGGAACCCCTCCCATAATGGGGACAGGATGATTGTGCTTGTTCTCGAGCTTACCTGAAATACAGAGCAAATCAGGTTCATGCAGGTGTATTTTCCAGTTTCTAATATTTCACTATCTCTGCATTCTGCCAGAGTCATCTCTGTGATTATCCCAAATAGTTTTGATGACTGTACTTGACACTCAGTGTGTGTGTGGACCTGGACAGAGACCAGCTGACATCATTGCTCACAGGGAATAAAGTATAACAAGTGTGCTTATGTTTTAGAGGGTGCAGCTGGGTTCCTAGGGAGTGCTCATCCCCAGGAACCAAACAACAGGCATGTGGGGCTAACAGGAGTCTGTGATGTTGTGATGTTACCAATGACAACTCTGGCAGGACACTAGGACATGTACCCCGGGTAGTGTGGGGAGCCATTAGAAAAAGGATTGCAGGCAAATGTAAGTGCCTTTGACTGTTTCCAGTAATGAACACATCACATGGAACCTACCCTCATGACCACAGGAAGAGTCACAGGTGCAGATGGGTTTCAGATGGGGACACGGGTTACCAACAGTACAACCAGTGACAGGCACAAACCTCGTGGCAATCAGTACAACACAACTCTGTAAGGTGATGGTCAGACTCAAATCCCACAGGGTGATCACATCCACATCTTCTGGAAAGGCTGAGAAAAACAACATCCTTAAAGCAAATGCCCACAGTCTCAGAAACCCTGACTCCTTTGTTTAAAGGTCCTCTTTCTGTGTCCACTGTGTCCTTTCACAGAGCCCTAGGATAGTCAACTGGTTAGTCCTATCTGTAGAAGGGAACATGTGAGAAATACACCCTTGAACCTCACTGAAGGAACTTATCAGGTACTTTTCACAACAAATGCAGCAGGGAAACACCAGAGCATCAGTGCTTGGGTTCATGTGTCACTAATGTCTCAGTCTGTTCCAGCTGCTGTAACAATGTCCATGGACTGGGTGGTTTTAAACAACAGACCCTCATTTCTCACAGTTCTGGATTCTGGGAACTCCCAGGTCAAGGTCCAGAAATATTTGGTGCCTGGAGAGCACCCACATCCTAGTGTGTCCTTTCCCTGTCACCTCACATGGGGTCAGGTGGCCAGGAGCTTTCCCAGTCCCGTGTATAAGGGCAGTAATCCTGTCATGAGGCTGCACCCTCCTTCCCTAATGCTTCCCTCTGGTCCCACTGCCGCCTCCCACCACATTCTCCTTAAGTTTCAACCTGTGATGGTAGAAGTCTTACACATAGAGATGATATCAGCAACTGAAGGATCAATTAGTTAGTCATTGCAGGTGGAAGGTCCTCCCAACCGGCATCTCAACTTGAAGATTCTCATAGATACAGGAGAACCTTCTGGTCTCTGCAAACACACAGTGAACACAAGACCTTCAGAACCAGCTGGTGACCTTGGGGAGTGGACAGCTTCCTTCTTATACATGGGTTAAGCCTTCAGTCCACTTCTAATATCATTTTATAATTTGTGCTTTTCCCCTGTGACATTCTTTTTTTTTTTTTT